AACGACAATGAATTTCAGGCAACCCAAAGATTAAGTGGTTGTGCAGAGGGTAGGGTGATTGCTAGATTTGCCGAGATGGTGTTAATGAGCACAAATGCTGCTTGATATTTAATTTTTAGAATTTGATCTTTGTGTTCTTGATAAATTATGACTGCCATTTGTAGCACGGGCTTCTGTTACTTTGCTTGCCATGTAAAGACTCTGAAAACACGTATTGTGACCTTTCACTTACAATAAGCACACATGAGTTTTGGAAAAGGTAAAAAAAAAAACATGTTAAGAAATTGTTTGAAAGGCTAGAAAATCCTATTTCTACAACAAACCTGTGATACGACAGATAATTTGTGTACATTATGTTCAGAACCTAAACGATGGGACTCCATCCTAATCCCCAAATGTGCAAATGGCAACAAAGAGATTCATTCTGTTACCAGTTAACAGTAGGACACCACATGCCATGTACTCGGGATGATAGCTAATAGGTTAATTTGGACTCATTGTTAAAGCCTTGGGAATACAAAAGAGCATGCAGCAGGATGAAACCCAAACATCTGTTCGTATCAAGTTTTATGTTTCAAGAAACTATTAAGTCCTCGGAGTGGTATGATTTCAGCCATGTTTTCTTTCCAGGCCAGCTTATGATGCATTCTCGCACAAACACTGTGATGTGCAGTGGGTCGGGAGAAACCTGTCACTGATTATCTCTGGCTGGCCAATCCACACTGTGAAATAAGGAGTCATTATCAGACTCATCAGATAAGCAGATGTTGACAAGCTGCTCTGTAAGTGAGAATGCCTCTCCACTGAACAGTGCAGTGATGTACCATATGCATGGTTTGACTTCAGCCGCATAAAATCAAAACGCGAGCTTATTTTATTATGGTTGATGAATGTCATAGGCTGCATTCACGTGGTCCAAATGTAAACAAGAGCATGCAGTGATGTCAGCAACGGAAACTTGTTTGAGAGGATTTATAAATGGCTGTGTTTCGAATTAAGAGAAAAGTCGCAAAAGATGCTATAAATATAAGACGAACAAATTAAAGGTGAAACTGCCCTTTAACTGATTCCGGGACTCGGGGGTTAAAGGGTTAAAACCAGATGTTTTGGAACCGGAAGTTTGTACATTTGCAGATCTGTTTAACCGCTAACCACCAGAGTGCCCTTGAGCACCACCAAAAATCCACAATGGCCAACTAAACAGCCCACTGTTAGAGCTGCGCATGTGCGAATGAAGCGCATTGACTTTTTATAGGAAAAAACAGGCATCAGACGTTGACTATTTGTTTTTTTTTTTCTCCTGAAGGCTGAGGTGTGCTGCAGTCTCACCCTGCCGCAAAGCGCTAATTGGGGTGGCCTCATTTAGCAGCACGTCAAAGGGGACGCGACAACACCGTGTCAGCGCCTCTACAAATCTCCTGCATGGTCTAAACTTAATAGCATGTCAGACATCACAACTGATGCAATAGGGGTCACGGCGAGCCTATGTTTCACTATAACGAACCCTTCCCCAACCCCGGCATGAAGACCGGGGTGGCAAAGCGGAGATTAATGTTCCAATCAGCGATGTGGTTAAATAAAAAAGCTGTGAACTATACGAGCTACAGTCTGGATTATCACAAGGCAGACAAACACCAACTAGACAAAAGGAAATGGGGGGGGGGGGGAATACAAATTTGTGTTGGGTTTTTTTTGTATTGTTTTGGGTTTTTTTGTCTAGAAAATGGCATTATTTCACAACAGCTGGACACTCCATTTGTAAAGACAGATTTCCTCTGCCTGTCACGGACAAAACGGCGAGCTGCTCCAGTGCAGCGTTGGTCCCAGCAGATTACACATGTGGAAGCTCGACTTTAAGTACTTGTAAGAGCTGCTGTTTATAAGAAACGAGGATTTAGCGAGAGTTTCCAACAGGGAATCAGTATCCCAATCAAATCCACCAAACCAATCAAATTTCAGCTCATAGTTGACTTTTCTTTTTAAATTTTAAATGCGTTTAAATTTTTGTTTTGGGACGATAATGCCACAAATCTATGTGAAATGAATTATTTACACCTTTCTCTTAGAGTTAAGTGGTGTCTAAAGCAAATAAGAATAGGAATAACTATGAGAATATCAATAACAAAAAATAATAATAAATTATACGGTCAAATTTCAAAGGGGCACGAAAATAAAACGATATAAATGACGTCCAGTCACTAAATATGCTTGAAGATTAAAAATAACTTGCTGTAATTTTTCTGTAAATCAGCGTCTGGATTGTCTTTCTATGCAAACTTAGATGTTCAGTGTGGGATGGATTGCTCCATTACCCAGGCTCTGGCACTGGAGTCGTTTTATGGCTGCAAATAAGACAGGGTTTCTTGGAGGCGTTTCGAAATGTCTGCATGCCAATAAACCAAAGTGGCCTTGACTTGAATTTGACCTTTTTGTATTAGAACCCTTAAGCCCGCCAGATGAGGACTCTAGGATAACGGGTTTGCAAGTTATTTCACGACTTTCAAACTCGGGGCGTAGGCTCCCAAGTTTTTCAACTCCCTTATCACTTAAAAAGGGATATCACGTGTAAGCCTCCGCCGGAAACCTAATAGTTAAACCCCACTGCAAATGTTTAACTTATTGATTTAGTTCTCATTGAGTGACGGCAGCTGGGCATGCACATCAGAGCGCTGGCAAAAGCATGGGCACCTCATCCATCAAGGAGCGTGGATTATAGCTTTTTTCTAATCTTGGGCTATACTCCACGTGTCAGTGCAAAGTTTCTGCATAAGCAGCATTTATCAGAGCGTCTGATTTTTTTTTTTTTTTAAAAAGGGGGATGATCTCACAAAAAAGGGAAAAAGTAAGGTCCAAACGAGTCATTAAGAGCTGCCACAACTTACAAAATGGGAGGGAAAGTGGTTTTTTTTTTGTTCGTTTTTTTTTTTTAATGAAAGCCTATTTCCATATACTGCACGTGCATTTTAAAAAAGCAGAAAACAAAAGTAAGAAAGGTTGAATCTGTCTGATTTTTGATGCGCACATAAGCTGCAGCGTGTCTACCTTGGTAACACAAACGTCAGGCTCGGTTTACTGGCCACAAGTGCTGGTAATAAATATTCATGATGCTGGCGCCTGCGCTTTCCCGATATCTGTTTGTCATTTCCAGACTTGAGCGTAGATACATTTAAAGTGGATGTTTTTCCCCCCGCGCTCCTATTTGATCTGGAGTCACCATCAGCCCTATAGCCTGATGGAAGTCGCCTCCAGCCTCTCGTCGACTCTTCTTTTACGAGCATCTCATTTTCGACACCGTGTGCAGGTTCAGTGTAAAGTAATACGACAGAACCACGAAGTCAGAATTAAGTAGTAAAGTCCCCTGCTTTTTGGATTGAGTTGTGTTGGCAGGGCAAAGAGCTAACGTTTGTTTTCTCGTTTCCGTTTTTTTTTTTTTTTTTTTGTAAGACTTAAAGGTTTTAGTTTCACTATTTGCTAAAAGCATCTGCAGGGAAATTAAAAAACAACGTGGCTAAAGTATGAACTCAAGTCTGTGGCCATTAGCAGGCAAAAACTATGGATCCAGTCTGAGTTTAAATCCATTCCACGAAGAGCATTTCCATCATTATTAGTCTGGACTCGAAACATAATTTCACATTTAAAGACTTTCCCTCAAATGATAAATAAACTGTTTTTTTTTTTTTTGTTTTTTTTTGCCGAATTGAGCTTTTATCTCAAACATTTGTCAATTTGGCATCAACTTTATATTTAAATAAAATGCACGTGTGGACTATCTGCCAGCCCAGAAAACCACAGGAGCCAGTTTTAACACATCCACTTTAAACTATTTATATTTCAAGTTGCATGTGAACATTTTTCTATAAAGCTGCAAACGAATTCACTGCACGGGCGTGGAGTGCGTCTTTATTTTATTTTTTTTTTTCACCCCCATAGCGGTGCACGAGAGCAGCATCTGCACTGGGACCAGATAGATAGTGTTAAATAGAGTCGAAAAAGTCATTTTATTACCATCCTTCATTTATCTCCAAATCTAATAGTCCGTGAAAAGAAAATATGAATACATTTCAATACATTTCAACAAATCATCTAAGATGGTGGGAGTCGTTTTTAGTTTTTTTTTTTTTTT